TGATTATAGACTCCGTGGGTGTATTGACCACAGAGGTCCTTAGAACTATGCGTCGGTGGCACGCCGTCGTTAAGAACGTGGATGCTGTTAAGAAGGCGATGCGCTGGTTAAATCGTATTGAGTTCCACTTGGACAGCAGCGAGCACTTTCGCGTTCCTGAGGATGCCGATCTTGAGGACCGACTAAAGCAACGTCCGGTTTCTTCGATGAAGGTATTTCGTTTTCCATTCCGTATATCTACTTCCTTTCTAACTTTTTTTTTAAAATAATTTTTAAGGTTGAGCTGCATTGCTGGTAGGGGTGCTTTTGGAGATGCTACAATGGAAATGCTAATGGACAAGTTGTTTGAGCCTCGCAGAAACGTTGTCTGCGTTAAACCCACGCGATTGGGAGTTGTCACAGATGGAGTTATTGCTCTCAAGAAACCAGATCTGATCAATCTGTTTGAGGGTATTTCCTCCGTATTTGTACTAATTCCTTTCCTTTGTAATGGCATGCACTGGTGCTCCATTATGGCAAGGTTGTCAACATCGGAGGTGTTTTACTACGACCCGATGTTATCGTGTTTTGGAAACCAAGCTATAGCGGTGGCTAAAACCATCCAGCCGCTGCTTTCTCCTTCTGGATCTACAAGAGTTCGAGTTCGTCCGTACATTTTCAGTCTGCGTACTCAGACATATAGCTACAATTGCGGTCTATTTGTTTTAGTGGCATTTGAGATGTTTTGTGGTGCAAGCTCTCCTGGCGTACGCAGGAGCCTGGGCCATCAATAGACATATTTTAAATCGCCAATCGTAGGCCAAAAGACATATCAAAATATTAAATTTGAACAGGTTGTACATGATGGAGGTAGACCAGATATCATATTTAGATTAAATACGATTGCCAAATCAAACAAAATTTATCTAATGAACCTAAGTACGAATCGCGCTTTAAGACTATTACTCGATAGGTGAACGTCTTAGCTATCTATTGAGCCCACGTGCGTCTAATTTGGTTGTGGTGACGCGGAGGTAGAGGTCGGCAAAAAAAATTATCTCCATGTTGGACGGGAAAACTCCATTCTTTATTGTTGATCTAGACGTAAAGTTGAGCAAGGAATCCATTGATGGTATTCATTCGATCTATTTTTGAGTCTAACGTTGTGAAAAGAGCAATTAAATAGAGTGACTTCAAATCCTAAGGGGTATTTTTTTTTGTGAAATTTTGACTTCTGATCATAAATAACATTGACCAACCGTCTGCTCATACTGGAGTTACATCATCATCAATCTGCAGTTTTTTGTTTCTTTGCCTGGGGACGTGGTGTTTTGGCAGTCGGGGCCTTTTTTTACTTCACATGCGCTAGTGCGTCATCATAGATTGGCTCGGAAGTGTCATCTGCGCCCTCTCTTCCGCACTGATCTTGATTTCGCTTGGCTGCTACAGTCATTGCAGCACGTTGTGTACGCCTCGCTTTCTTCGCAGCCTTCGCGTTTTCTTTCTGTCGGACAGTCGGCTTCTCCTACAGCGGGTGGTCGCGGAATTCATCAGGAACGTAGGGCCGAATAGATTGGTACATCTGGGCAATCTTTTCAGTGTTGGGGGGGGGGGCAACGTTTCAAGATGCTCGGTCATCATTCGAGTGACCTTTTCCTGTGGTCGTCGAACGCAAAAACCGCCCCCGCGACAGCTTGATTTTGTAGCCGGCCGAACGATGGCTACGTGAAACTTCTTGCTATGGCGGCCTGACAAAGCGTAAGAGTTTTGGGGACAAGACACGCGACGGCTCGAGTAGCATCAACGTGGGCATTTTTTTTCAACCCTGAGCAACTGTGACGGGGTCACACGGCACCTTGCGCTGAGGAAGTAGGCTTCCAAGAGTATACAAACTCTAAGTGAACGACAATTCACATGTCCCTGGTCTGAGGGGACGAAGTACTCAATTAAGGGTACGCTTAAGACTGAATGTATTTATAGGTAAGCTTAGCTCGGTTCCTAATACAAACTATAAGTCACCTACAGAAACTATGTAGATATGCAATGATTGGCTCCTAGCGCCTCTGGTACCATGTACCAGGTATTACAAGAGTGACAGGTCACTCTTCATGTAATTTGGGTACACTGGGGTTCGTACCCCGTTACAGCGACAATAGGTGGGTATATATTGTAGCACTGAATACCAAAAAAAGCTGCCTCAAGTAAATGACAGCAATTTGGTTCTTCTAATCACAGATAAACTGACTCTGCAACTCGGGCCTGTACGCCTGCTGTTTTTGCTAATTAAACCGATTAGATGTATCCACTGCCAAACCTTCCTCACTATCTATGAAAGCATACGAGTGGGGATTGCGGGTGCACATTTCATAGAGCGTGATACAATTGAAAACTCCAGATTGGTGCTGCAATGGAACGACTTGGCCATTTCTTAGTAGCATATGATATTGATGAAATATCTCAACGTTATCAAAGTTCGTAATAAGCTAGGCGAGTTGTTGACGTGATACCGTTTCTTCGTTGTTCGTTTTTTCGGGCACGTAAGCTTAAAATAGCTTGGAAACATGGATAAGTATGTAAACGGTCCTCCATTCATCATGATGATCACTGGAGATTCCACCACATATCCTCTTCTTAGTATGTTCTTCATATCATACGTTCCAAATGAAGACAAAACGGATTTTGAAGAGGCAAAAGTAGTGGTGATTAAAGATGAAGAGGATCATGAAGAGGGTGAAAAAGATTTTCTTTCCTGTCCGGTTTACCATGAGACTATTCTGGTTTCGGACGATTGAGAATGCGAACAAGCCATAATCAGATACAAGCATCTGTGTCTTACGAACAAAGCCGGACTCATCATCCCGCCCGTTGTCATTAGCTAACGGATAACCTGGAGCATCCATATCAGCAGCGGAGAATAAAGTACTGGCGAAGATGAAGACATGGAATCTCGGTCATCGTGGATTCGGACCATTGCCCGATCGGCCTCTGCACGGTTCCTGATACTTCATGGCTAGCGTGTGCTCTCTTCAGCGATGTATGTATCAGCCGGTGGCTCAACGAGGCTATGTCGAATGGGGGCTGCTCTATTTGCCGCATTTTTTCGCTCGTAAGGTGATACAAACTCTGTATGTGTTAAGAAGAACAAAAACAACAACAATGTTAAAACAGGACCTGTTCTGACGGATTAATGTCATCGCTCGTCAATCCTCACAACATTCTCACCTCCTTCATCCTCTAAATTCGCATCACCAGCTTGCTGTTCATGCAGCTGACCCAATTCATCCTTTACGTCGTCCTGATCATGGTCAGAAGAGACAGAGTCAGCAAGATCGACGTTGCACTTGGCCTCTTAACCCGCTAAGTTGTCAATGATATCGCCTCGTGACGGTGCTAACGCATCACCTAATTTTATTTCTTCTTGTGTCTGAGTTTACGTCTTTGCGCTAGGCAATGTCGTGAAGAAATGACAGAATGTTGTTGTCCATGACGATCTTCGTCGACCCGTCGGTCAGGCGGATTGGGCCCTGCGACGACGGCATTGGCAAACTTTTCTATGTCGCTATCGGTGGCGAGCGCATCCTGGTTAAACTCTGCTGTCTGCATGATGTGCTCTGAGAACATGCCCCAGCGCGAAAATATCCCAAAGCATTGCACCTTGCATTTCTTGGTCTAGTTGTCGATGTGCACGCTGTAAGTCATATCCGCTTCAAGGACTCGATCTGTAACCGCGCGATCCGCTCGTCTGACCTCATCTTCTTAGCCTCTATATTGATGGTCTCAGAATGCATCTCACGTTTAAACTCCAGCTCTAGCATTCTCGCGCTAGAATCCGCTTTGCGATCTTATGCAAGTTTTTCCAGTTTCATCGTCAGCGGTCGGCTATTAGTCGCTCGCCCTCCATCACGCGCTCCCGCTTCAAGCGCCGATCTTCGCCTGGCTCTGCAGATAGGAGTAGAATCTGGCTCAATCCAAATGCTCGAAGCAATAAACAATCAAAAAGAATTTTTTGCTAATTTTTTGCTGATGGCATTTTGGGGAAGTTTGCCAAGCGAAACCTCATTACCGAAGGCGTCGTGAAAGCACAAGTAGTATGTTTTTGCACACTGTCCGCGTACTAAAGTAAAGAGATTAAAACTCTTCATCATCGTTGTAAAAGAGGCGATCAACCACTGCACCGCTGAACATGTTCACACTTTACAGCACTGCTTAACGTTTCGAACGTATAGACCTCCGAACGATGATCATGCAACACTGCTAGATTTCAACGTGACCATCACCTGCGGCGCCATCCATTGCTGCAGTGGTGCAACCCTCACTACGGTTCTCGTGCAACCATTGGAGAATTTCTAATGTGCCCATCGAAGCAACACAGCCCATGGCTTTGGTAGTGTAACTCTCGCCGCAGGTCTCGTGCAACCATTTGATACCCTCCAATTTTTTTTCTGAAACGGCATTGTCCATCGCAGCAAAAGTACAACACTTGTCACTGTCTTGCTTTATGAATCCATTCTAGTATGTCAATACTCTCGCATGCCGCAGCTACAACATCCATTTCACCGCATTATGGCTCCGGAATCTTATCGTGGAACCACTTAAGAACGTCGAGGTTTCCACACTCCATAGCACATTTGATGGCTTTGCTCAAGAAGCACCATGTTCGTGCGGCCATCGTACTTGCTTTAAGGGAGCATATTTAGCAACACAGTTGAGCGCGGTTCGGCGTAAGGATAGAGTATCTCCATCAGCTCACACAACACATATGAAGCCACGCACATTCGGAGCTATCGGCGGTAGACGACTTCGTTTACCATCTCACAATATCCACTTTTTGCGCGGGTTCCGCTTGAGCACATAACCGCTTCCATGTCCATACAATCAACAACAATACCGGTAAGAACCTCCTGTTGACACAGATTTATAACCATGTCAGAAACCACGGTGTCGAATAGAGGGAGATGCTTACCTGCATCGGACAGTAGACCGATGTGAATATCAAGACGGATGATGCGGCAGTAGCTTGAATTGTTGTTTCTGCTGATGCACAGAAGAAGAAGAATGACGGGAGCGATGGAGACAATAAAAAAGATGGACGAGAAGGAGGAGGACGACGACCACAAGCAGAAGGAGGACGACGACCACAAGCAGAAGGAGGACGACGACCACAAGCTGCGGTGCTTGTTGCCTTGGTGGCGTCGCCCACTGACGCCGTCTGGGAATGGATGACCAAGCACGCGAACGATGTGAAAGCCGGCAACGCCGTTAAGAGTATGCACCTCGACTGTGGAAAAATCAAAGCCAAAAAACAGAAAGCATTACGACAAATTCCTGTGCAAGTTGAGACACGAGCGGTTCAACAGCCTACCTGATCACTGGTGATTACTAATACATTTGTTTAAAGATTTTGTGATGCCTATTTATTGGTATCGTCGATGAAGACCAACTATTGACGCGTACGTAAGTACTGTATTTTGTGTCTGCGATCTCTTGTGTGCATTCTGATGCTGTCTCGACTTTACCGTGTTTGCTTCGTTAGGGAATATTATCAAAACGGATCCGTGCTCCCTTAACTTGCAACTGAAACTTGTGTATTATACACGATAATGATACAGTAGCGAGTAGCCTTTTCGTAACGTAATAGCTCTGTGGTAGCATGTAGCCTTCACGGAGCAAGTAGCTGTGCCGTAGCCAATGACGTCATTGCTCAGAGCAAGTGTTTGCACCACATGTTTGGGATGGCTGGCTACTGTGCCCCCCCCCCCCCGCCACCGAGATGAGTACGAGCGCGCGTACAGGGATCCGGCCCGCGTGGACACGCCGGAAGGCGCTCGAATCTACCTGATTGAGCTCTTGGAGGCGGTGAACGCGAAGCTCACCCCGATCGAAGATCAACTCCAGCGCCTAGAAGACAGACAAGATCGACCGTCTGCACATGAGGTCGATGGAGTCGCTATCTGGAACGAAATTCTCAACTGCGAGTGTATTCAGTCAATCTCTTAAGTTGAACAATGAACACTCGATATCCCCCCTTTCTTTTTCTTTATAAAACAAACCATGAACTCGATCTTCTAAAAACTGTACTCGAGCTTATTTCGTTCAGTGCTCTGTTGTATTAAACAGTTTCGTTTTTTTAGTTTTCGATGTCTTGCGTGAGAGGCCAAATGTGATGTTTGGTAATGCTCCAGGCGCTAGTTGAGTTTCCACTAGAAGTCGTATACCTCGAGTGTCATGCAGATTGTGATGCTTTTGGCCAGCCCACCGCCATCAGGATGGTTGCTTACTAAGGTATTCCAGTCGAAGCCACCAGAAATCTAAGAATCAGCTCATTTGGAGGTGGGTGGCACCAAGGCGAGCTTATTTATGTTTCAGGTTGGTAATGGAACACCTTAACCCAAACTCGTCGGTGCGAACAAAAAAAATTTTAATTGGAAACCGTGGCAATTACAAAGTTAAAAACACAATCGGTTGCAATTACGTTAAGTTCGAACAGATAGTTATAGTGCCGCCTGAAATCCCACACAAAATCGGGACATACTTCCTTCTAAGTTAGTGCACCATTTTGAGAAACTTCGGAAAGTCAACTTTGATTTATAGTATCCGCGTCAGTTTTTTTTTTAAAAAATGTAAGGCGACAATTTTAGCACTAAAGAAAAGGCGCCAGTCTGAGCTATTTTTGAGATAAAAAACAATACCATTCTTTGTAAGTGGAGCGAAAACGTAGCCCATGGTAAGAAAAAAAAAGTCGGGTTGGGAAGGGTGTTAGTTTAGTAGATATTGCTTGATCATGACGGCTTCGAGAATTTCCCTTCGCCGCTGGTTCACGTTACTTAGATAGTTTGCATTGAAATGCCGGATGGTTGCCGCTTGTTTTCAGAGTGCAGAAAAAATATTAGCCAATTATACCTCTGGAAATGAAACTACTGTGATTCTATTGGTTGGGTGAATCTATATGAAACTGATCGCTTTCTCTGAAATTGGTTCCCAAGATGGGGTCATCTCACCAGAATAAGTTACACTACAGTAGTAGCATTTGTTTCTGTCATTTACGGTAAGTTGGTCAAGTAAAATTTCCGCCAATCATTTAGCTTCACGATGAGTGAGCATCCGAGCTCCAATGGCGTCGACATGGACGCCGAGTTGGCGCAACTTCTGCTCGAGCAAGAGCAGTTTCTCAACCAAAAGAAGCAGCCAGCAGCTAAAGTATCTCGACGTGGAGGCCCACCAAAAGTTTCAGCGTCTAAAACTCCGCAGAAGGCTTCCGAATCGACCCCAGACGAGAGTCCGCAAGTGCTCAAGGGCGTCGTGGAGCGCCAAGTGACGCCTGTGGGTCAGCAGAGCTTCGTATTTACCCCAAAACCCTCCGGTTTCCCCTCTGTCAAGCGGCGTGGCCCCGGTCAAAGCCTCTTTGGCCGTAGACGTCGCGAGGCGAAGGCTAAAGAGCAGGAACAGGAGAAGCATGTAGACCAGGAGAGCAAGGACATAGATGCAGCCAACAAAGCCAAACTACAGGAGATGAGTCCCCAGGAGATCCTGGAGGCGCAGCAGGAGCTACTGAGGACGCTGGACCCAGAATTGGTCAAGAAACTAAAGAATAGGAACAAAAAAGAGAGGAAGAGGGAGGAGAATATGGTCAAAACACGAAACAAGGTGGCGATTGGAGAGTCCATAATGAAACATGACGAGGGGAATGAGCAGATCCAAAAGGAGGAGAGGATCAAGAGTCTGGCAGCAGTTAAGACGGAGGAAGAGCTCAAAGAACAAGCCAAGCTGCTGCCAGCCGAGGAACGTGCGAAATTGGACTGGACGCAGACCACGAAGAAGGACGAGAAAGTTGCTAACGGCAAGAAAATCGATCTTCCAGTGGCTGAAGATGCGACGCTGGAGCGGTTTGACTTGGACGGGAAGCTGTTGGAAGCGACAGATGCTGAACTGCCAGTGCACTCTGGACTATTCCACCATGGTGATGACCCGGATGCTGCGGGATATACACTACCAGAGCTTTTGCATCTTGCACGCAGTTCTGTTGCTAGTCAACGTGCGATGGCTCTCAACGTTGTGGCCAAGATCTTGCACAACCGACAGCTGCAGGAACGAGCGGGTCTTCGTGTGACCCCGCGAGTGCTGCCTCGTGACATGGCGATGACGCTACGAATTGTTCTGGACGACCAGAACTACACAGCATTAAGTGCTGGTGTGTCTGCCCTACACGCATTCATTGTGCCTGTCGAAGATGACTCGGATGAAGACTTTTTGTCTGAGTTAAAGTACGCTACTGTGGTGCTTCCTCGTAGAGTTCATCTGCATCGTAATGGAGCTACAAAGACGACAGATCACTCACACGGAGTGGAAGAAGTGGTTTATATCGACACAACTGAGGCTGACGATGGAACAAGCATCAGTGACGAGGATTTAGCGGCTTTGGACCCTGTACAAGCGCTACTTAGCATGGATCTGGGCACTCGACTTCGGTATATTCTTGAGAGCATCCAGTTACCCGACCAATACGCGACCGAGAAGATGCTAGACATCCTGATTGCAGTAGCTCGTCACTCTCCACGTGCGGCTCACGAGATCAGCTCGAACGTGAGGCTTCTCAAGCTGTTGCAGCAACAGTATGTCGAGAATGAACAGGTGCTGACGTTCCAAGAGGGCAACATCCGATCACTACAGCTGTCACTGAAAGCTTTGGAACTTGTGAGGGCGCTCTGTCAAGGCCAACGCAGCGTGGCGTCTGCGCTGATAGCTAGTGGATTGGTTCAGAGCACCAAGGGCTTCTTGGCACTGAAAGAAGTCCCTTCTGGTGACGTGGATGAAGCAGCTGCTGTTCTGTTTGGGAAGATGCAAGTCGAGAGTCTTCGGATTTGGCGGATTCTTCTCGGTTACGGACTGGATTTCCACTGCTTCGCGTACCTCTTCCCCGCTCTCGCGAGCTTCATGCAGCATTCCACTGATGCCTCAACTACCCGGAACGTGGCGCTGTTTGCTGCTTTGGAATCTTTCTGTGGTCTGGGATCCGTACACGAAGCGCAGCATTATTTCAACCAGTTGGGTTTCTTCCTAGATGCCGCAAAGGATGAAGCTGTTCGGTGCATTCGGTCGTTGTTGGTAGCGACAGATGATAGGACTGTTGCGCTGCTCTCCACGACGCTGAGATTCCTCGCTGCTGCTAGTGCTCATGCTACGAAATACAACCTGGAGACTGCCGGTCTGGTCGAAGTTTTGAAGCTCCTGCAGTCAACTGAAACTACGCGAGAACTGCTTCCTCGTCTCAATGATACAGTAACGAAGCGGGATCTGCTGGTAGCCATCGTTCAATTCCACCGACAGATCGTCAGCAACGGCTTACTCTCCGATGATATGGATGATGACGACATCGTGCAGACTTTTTCGCGTCAAGTGAAGACGCCTCTGCTTATCGCTGCGACGTCCGCGGTCGCCTCGTCTTCTACCAGGTTCAGCCTCACTTTGATTCAAGCATGTGAGCTCACTCTTGTTCTGGGAGATTTAATCGCAACAGGTCAGAGTGATGTCGTGAACTTTAACGCTGACTTCGTACAGAGCGTGTACCACCAGGCTCTGATCCTTGTGGAGCGTCTTGGCGGCGGTGGAGAATTCTTGACAGCGCGGTTATTCGCTGGTGTCTTGTTCCATCAGAGTACACTACAGTCACTCGGTGTTTTTAGTGAGAAAGCTGACGCAACGCGCATGAGTCGAGTGTTGACTCCCATCTATCAGGCTCTAGTGAACGCCACGTCCGAACAAGAAGCACACTCGTCGCATATCTTTACGGGCGTGTCAAGTGTCAACAAGTTTTCGTACCATTTGCGTCTCCCTCAAGAGGAACAAAGTTACATTCCCAGTAACTTGCCGCTGCCAAGTTTCTGGATGGTCTCTCCTCTGTCACGTATCGAGTACAACAGCACTGAAAACGGTAAACCGTCGACTGATGTGGGTCCGACCCGTGCTCAAAGTGACGAGATGAAGTTGATCGTGAGCGCTACGTGTCGGTTTGTCTTCGAGTTCGAGCGACTGGCTCCATCGATGGCTTCCATCCCTTCTATTGCCGAGCTGAGACCGGAAGACAAGCTATTCCACTTGATGCACGTGCTCTTCGCTGGCAGCGACGTGCTGTTCGACGATCACGTGGACGCTGCACTTCGTCAACTTCTTCCTAAGCTCATCAAGCCAATTCTTCGCTCCGCAGACTCAAAATTACTGTACGCAGGTATTTTACGGAACCTCAAGCGCTTCCAGAGTCTAGAATCTGGACAGGATCTAGAATCGTCTAAATCTTCGGTGTCTTTTTCGTCCGATGAGCAGCAAGTGTTAACGTTCGTGGAGAAACTGGTGGCTGAATTCACGGCTTCGTCTTTCGGTAACTCGCACTTTGCGCAATGTATGACGTTGCTGTTGACTGGCGATTTTCCCTTGGAGTTGCGCAAGTTCGTGTGGAAGGAGCTTCAAGAGGCTCATTTGTTGCACACACTCGCACCTTTCGAGGTCTCTAGTGTGGAGTTGTTCAAAAGATGCACACGAGCTGTATCGACTGATGCCAAGTTGCTACAATTCATGCAGCAGGCGGTGTGCAAGAAGCAAGTGTCGCCTACTCGTGGGGCGTTTGCGTATTCTGTGGCCATTTATTGCATTGTGATCTACTTGTTCGGTGAAGGAGGCAGTACTATGAGCTTCGCACGTCAACAATTCGCTCAGACACTCACGACGGAGGCATCTCCAGTCATTTGGGGGCATCTTCTGACCTACAACGCTAATGACTTGGCGTTGCTTAGTGAAAAGTGCAATAGTGTGCTAACTCAACGCGTGGATAAGCTTCGAACGCAAGCTGGTTTGTCATCGGACCAGCTTCTAGCGTTTGAGGCCACTGTGTCGTTGCTTGAAAGCACTAAATAGACAAAGCACAACTCTTCTATTGCCTTGTGTTACACTAATTTGGGTGTAATTCTCCGTTTCTTGTTCTTTCTCTCAGTATCAATCGCACTCTTGACCACAGGCGACACTTTTGCGTATTTGAAGTAGAGCAGAGGACGCACAGTGCCCTCGCTAGTGTTGGCCAGACCTCGGTGCCATACACGGTAGTCCATGACGATCGGTGTCCCCGCTTCGACACACGCCGTAACACTCAGAAGATCTCGATAACCGTCAAATGCTGTTCCACGAGCTCCGTTGTCATGAATGTGCGACTTTTTCTTCATCTCGGTGCCTCCAGTGTCGTCCGTGATTGCCACTAACGGCACAAACACGTTGAGGCGGTCCACTATTCATAAAAAAAGTTAGTAATATATATCCACAAATATTATTTTCCTAAATAACTTACCAGGTTCCTGAACGTGTTGGTTGCGGTGAACTCCATCCAAATGCCAGTTCTGATCGTCATCTCCGGGTTGCGAGAGTACACAGCCGATGTATTCAAGATGGTATTCATCTGGTGCGAAGAGTTCCTTGAGCACTGGTTGCCAGGATGTAGCCATGTCCTTGAGCAACTTCATATCCACGGAGTGAACAGCTTCCGCTGTCTGTGATGTTAAGGGCCGAGTCTGGAAGGCAGAAGTGCTCAACTGCATGTCAATCCGACCGCCTTCACGCACGTAGAAACCTGGGAGACGCTCAGCATTTTCACGGAGTTTCAAGTCCAGTTTCTTGTTGGCAGCTTCGGTAAGGAATTCCTCGTAGCGGTTGAGAACTTGCGTGCGTAGTTGCTCCACAACGGACGCTGGGACTTCGTACGTTGCAACAGGCAACGCCACAAACCCATCGGCATGAACACGACGGGCTAATTCCGCAACATCCATGGTCTCCAATAATTTGTGAAATGTAAACTATCTGTCCATACAAACCACAAGATAAAAGATGCTTAAATGATTGAGTCAGTGAAAACTGAAGCAACAAATTATCTTATGACGCTACTTGGACATGCAATATTTCCAGCAACTTTAGCGATGTGACTGTGAGCGCACCATGCCTGCGTCTTCCTCGTTGTCCTTGGCTGGATTGGAGATGAAGGAGAAGTTTGGCTCCGTGTGACGATCCTCTTCGTAGTCGTCGCTGGGCTCCACGTTTTCGCCCACTTCGTGTGGCGACGGCAAGTACACGACTTCACTGGAAGACTCGGTCTTCTCCGACTTCTCCGAGTCGTTGTGTTCGTCTTCTTCGTTGTTGACACAGACAACAGTGCGAGTGTCCGAGATGCCAACTTCCTTCTGGTTGGCAAGGTGAGCCTTCAGATCCACACCGATAAACTTGCCCAGTGTAGCAACAAACAACCGCTTGCTGCGCTGGCAAGCAGGCCACGCCGAGGCAATTCGCACACAATAGTCGAGGAACGTCTCGAGCATTTGAGACCGTTCCTGGACGTCCTGGAGACTCGGAGGGAACAGAGTGCGACGTGGGAACTTGACCGCAGCCAGTTGCTGGTACGTCGACTCACATTCAGGACATTGAATGCAGCGAGGACGCGTCAATAGTTCCACTAGCTCTGCTCCGGCGGAAATCGACGGTTCATCATCCACTCCAGTCAACGTACTCTTGCGAGATGGCAGTCGACCACGACACGTCTTGAGGATCTCAAGCAGACGTTTGCGTAATAGGAAGAAGCTCTGGAAGCGCTGGATGCAACGAGCTCGCAGTTGCAGCTCGGGGACGGAAACGTCCATGGTATAGCGCACATGCTTGGACTCTGTGGGGCCGCGAACAACGTAGAGACCTGCAAACTGCACCATTTTGTCCTGGCCGTTTAGATAATGACTCTCGGGCATGCAACCCCCCAACACGGCGGCCGACGCGCTAATCTCGCGTGCTCGAATGTCGGCGGCGACTTTCTGCGCAACGGCGTGCTCCAGTTGCGTGTTCGTCGAGTCTGGCTCCTGCTGGCTTGGGTTCGAGCTGAGTGGAACCGTAGTGGCGGTGCTCAGCGGTTGGATGGTGTCCACAACGACCGGCATGGTGCGGAAAATGACTTGGAACTGCAGATTGAGACTGCGCGACTACGAAGTAGAATCAAAGTGAAGCCTCGTCCTGCGTGGCTCCAACTGTGGTGTGTGGTGCCGCTCGGCAGAGGCAGGACGCCTCACTTGCCTTTCCACCGAGCGCGTTTTCCTTCTTATTGTCCATCTGGATGTTGCAAGTGACAAGAGAGACGATGACCAGCTCTCGACGCGCGGCATAGAGCCGTAGAAACGGCATATTTTCGCTGGTTGCTCAGCAACGTGCTGCGCTCTAGCCTGCCAAGGCAGGTAAAAAAAAAAACTCTCTTGATGTTATCATGTACTTAACTGCCCCAAAGGCGCCACCTGAGCCTGTAGCTCACTTCTACATAAGCTACTATGAAACTATGAACTCATGTAGGTGCTCAGTTGAGTTGCGTGTCGTTCGGGCTGTAAATGCATGTTCCGTTCCGTTGTCGTAACTTCGCGCAAAAACTGAAGCCATGTTGCAAGTGTAGGTTGAAGCGGTTGACACTGCACATCGCAATCTGAAGTTTTTGGCGATAAAAAAAAATAACCTGTAGGGGCATGATGCTTGCCACTGCCACTGCCTACCACACAGCCATACGAACAACCAGAAAGGCAAATGCAAAGTTATATGCAAGTGGCTAGCTACCCCCGTCTTGTCCTGCTCATATGATACAAGAGCAAGGCCACGACGCGCTCCTCAACACGCCGCGGGCCCCACTCTCTCGATATTTACTCTCTTCGTTGTTTGAATTCCACGGCAGTCGCTGCATCGCCAACCAGCCTGCAGTCCGTCGAAGAGACTCGGCCAGAGCGTTTGTCATTACGAAAGTCATTCTGACCAAAGTGTTCCAGCTTCAAGGCAAGAGCCCAATTTGCCACGCTGGAAGAAACTCTCTGCAGTATTTTGATTTTCCACCTTTCAGACTCCCAAAAAGTCCATGGCAGAAGACAGAGCTTGCCGCGTACGAACTGTCGCCGGTTTGGCGTCTTTGGGGTTCACAGTCGGGTCCAGGAAGCCATTGGCGCTCTGCTGAGCACGCTGTGAATCCGACTGCAGACTGCGCACAATGACAGCCTCGTGTTTGCGTTTCTCGCTCTCCTCGCGGCGGACTTGCTTCTCGATGTCATATTTCTTCTGGTGCATCCGATACAGCTCCTTCTCAGCACGACGGAGGCGCTCCTCGGTCATGGAGCGACGTCGCGTCTCCTCCTCAAAACGCGCTTCCCACGTCTTGATCTGTTCCTGTAGTTCCGCCTTCTCGTGTTGCCATCGTCTGTCATACCAAATCATGTTTTTTTGTTATTTTTCCACTTTTTTTTTTGGCATAACACGACAGGGCGGCAAGATTGTTTTTGCCACTTACTTTTCATCTTCCGCCTTTTGCGCGTCCAGTGTGATGCGGTCCAGCGCCTCCTGCTCGAGACGCCGCTCCAGGTCCTCGTTCACGTACTCGAGGTCGTTCTGGCGCCGCGCCTGCGCCTCCACGAAGCGCTTGGCGTCCGCCAGCTCGTTCTGCAGTCTCTGCACCAGTTGGCTGTCGTTGCGGTGCTCGCGCTCAAAGAGCGGCACGCTGTCCATGTCTGTGCGCTGGCCAAACGAATTCCCCCAGTTGCCAGCGCCCGGAGCCTGCGTGCCTAACATTCCGCTCCTCGTGCCAATTTGCCCACTGGAATTAGTGGAACTGAAGGAAAGGGGGTCTGTTCGAGTGGGGGAAGTTTCAGGATGCGGTTGACACATTGTAAGCCTAGCCCGCGTCACCCATAGTGAAAGCAAGTGCGCAGTGTTCTGGTGCAGGTTGGCGTGCTCATCGTTGCAAACTCGTCTTCAGGCTCCTGCATTTCCACGCTGGAGTCTGGGGCCACATGGCCAAATCCAGCGAGAGTCTTGTCTGGATGTCTTGTTCTCGAAATGGCCGGCTGCGAAGATAATTATTTTTATCCGCTTATTCTTCGGAGTGACCATTCTTCTGAGTCACGGAGTGATGGCGACGGTGTCATCTGCACTGATGCGAAATATATTGGTGGACAACTTGAATGACAATTTCTCTTCTTGCTGGAAATAATTCTTCAACATGGCAAATCACCTCGAAAGATTCGCTGCGACGCTAGGATGGGGGGCACCATGCAGCCATTTGAATTCGCGCGCGAACGTTCCGACACGTTGCATCATTACCAACTCACCCAAAGTTTGGGCCAAACTCGCTGATATCTACGCAGCACTTCAACAGCAGTTTGCACAACGCTTTTTTTTTTCTTCTTGGCACGGCAACAACAACTTGCACTGCAAATTGCGGTCTGCAGTTGCAGATGCAGCGTGCAAAATAGTCTCAGATTACACCAAGTTGGTATTGTTACCAACAGGCAACGCTGGATGTTACAGACGTCTGCCATCTTGACTTCTACAGCCGGTTGTCCGTATCGGCGATGCTACCAAACATCGCATCAGCTGAAACAATGCCCTGCACACAGAAACAGCGTTAGACAAGGTTGGTCTTGCCACCAGCGTTGACAGACGTACCATCGGCGCATACCGCACACCATCGAAGGTGCGACCATGAGCTCGCACGGCTGTCATCAGCGCCACACTCTCGTCTTGCTGTTGCACAGCTTGGTCACCCACGCACAATTTCGGTATTTTCTTGTAGAGCATACGCAACAGCGCTGCACCAACGCACACGGCAACGACCAAGTCTTGCCAGAAACCTTCGCACTCGTACGTGAACCACGAGCACTCGATGCAAGACGAAGCACCAGGTGCAGCATCAGAACCTAGAGGACACGGTTTACACTTTTCCCGTCCTTTTTCTGATGAAAAGGTGCGTCGACGACACAATTCGCACTTCAAAGCGCCACTTGTGCTTGAATACGACCCGATGGGGCATGGCACACACACTCGCTCATTGTCAGTGATAGAGAAAAATGTTCCAGGTGAACACGCCAGGGCTCGAGTTGAGTTGAACGGAGGTTCGAGCATCGATACGTTCACCATACTGAAAGCCAACGCGCCTTGGAACAGATTCGCACGACCAAACTGACGTACCAGAGCGTCTCGGAAAGAACCTGAGCTCACCAGATCTGCCAAGAGATCGATGTCACTCTCTCGCCTCTCTTTCCCATCGCTTGATCCTTTGAGTTCATCTAGTAAATCGTCCAATGCACTTTCCGCCGCTTCGGCTGCTTGATGAATGGCATCACCAAACTCCTTCTCCAACTTGTTATCTGCTTGTAACTTGGTCGGCAATGGGCTGCTCGTCTCCACTGCAACAATAATCTGCGTCAGTTGCGTTACATCGGACTGTTGTGTCACTTGTAACACGTGCAACGGACGACTTGAGCCCGAATAACTTGTCAGTGCATCCGTCCAGGATTGAATCAGTACATCGATCGGTAATGCTTGACCATCTGTAGTATCCACGAGGTCGTGCTGCTCAATTCCTGCCAAGTCCAAAGCCAAGCGAGGCCACTTCACATGATCGTAGATCTCTCCAGGTCTGGCCAAACTGCATTCAACGCCACCAGGAAGAAAGCTGAAGGAAGGAGGCTGACATCGAGTGCACTCTTTCGAGCCACTATCTGCAGCAATGTGGTTCGAATCACACAGCTCTGCTTGGACTGCACCTTCAGACTGGACGAACGACCCAGGAGGAGCCATCTCACAATACGAAGAGCCGATGCTGGACGCGAAGCTGCCTTTCGCACAAGATGGACACATTCGAGAACCCATATCTGCTGCAAAAGACCCAGGTGAACAAGGTTGACAAGTCCTCCACTTGCCATCGTTGAACGTCCCTGGTTGGCACTGTACTGGCGCCGTCGCAGCCTGAAATCCCCATCCAGGAGCTGCAACTGAAAGACACGTATCAATGCCGACACCTTCAGCCACAGTTCCGTTCTCGCACTCGCTGCATTCAGTCTGCGCCGCTGCACTTGTGAATGTTCCTGGACGACAAAGCATACAGGTCTTGATGTTGACGTCGTAAAAACTCCCTGGAGAGCATGGAGAGCACTTGACGTGGCCCAGTTGAGGCGCGACGTACCCAACCGGACATGGTTTGCACTCCACCGATCCAGCCTCGTCTTGATACGAGCCTCTCGGACACATTAAACACTCTGCCTCGCCCTCAGCGTGCACGAAGGTTCCAGCTGGACACGAAGCACACACTGTCGCTCCGGTTGAGTTGAAATGCGTTCCAACAGCGCATGCAGAACAGCTTGTAGAGCCCTGAGCTGCTGTGAACTCTCCTGGGCTGCACGGATCACACGATGTCGCTCCAACACTGGCTGCGAATGTCCCCGGTGGACACGGCGTGCATGCAGGTGAAGCACTTTCGTTAGCAAAAGTACCAGGGAGGCACGATCTGCAGTTGGCAGCTCTCCCATTCGACGTAATATCCGGAGTAGATCCTGGTGGACACGAGCGGCACTTCTGGCCAGTGCTCGAGTTCGAGTACGAGCCTTCGGGGCATGCAACGCAGAGCTCAGTAAACGCGCTTGCCGGGATCATTTGGTCCGAGTCGTCACTTGCATCAGTATATTCTAGACTTAATGAGTTCCTGGTAGCTCCGGTCGACTTGATGGTATAGCCATCGCCACAGACGCAAGTGAGGTTGCTTGGCAGCAGCAACACGGCAGGTATCGGACACAACAGTCGATTGCCGTCAAAGTCGGCAGGTTTCGCTAACTCGTGTCTGGACAGATGCGGTGTTAGAGGTTTTGCAACGAGGTCAGAGTGGCAACGTCAACTGTATCTTACAGTGATGGAGGAAATTCCGGAACGAGCCCACTGAAGACATTGGTGTGAATATTGCTAAGTGGCAGCAGAGAACTCAGCAATACAAACCAAGCATAAGCATGGAGACCAACTACAACTTACAAGCGTTGCAGCGCGGACTGGTTCGCTATCAGTGGCAGATCACCCGTCAGCAGATTGTTGGAAACGTCACTGTCATCGCAACCAGTACAAGGCGTAGTCAGAACAATTCATAGCTTTTAAGATAGTCTCAAATCGTAGCATACACAATAGCTAGAGACGAGTTCTCGTCGGGATCGTGTGGGTCTTCTCGTCCCCAGAGAGAAAGTTGCGGTGGGATCGTGCCCGTCAGAAGATTGGACGACATATCACTGCACACACATCGTCGTGATACTTGTTAGACAAAGTCCTGTCTTCAAACTGCGTGAACCGGTACGTACAGAGACTCGAGGAACTGGAATACTGGCAGCTCTGGGAGGTCTCCATTAAATGCGTTGTGGCTGGCGTTGCTGCTTTAATGAATATCACTGGATTAACGAGAAAGAACACACTGAGCACAAACGGAGCTCAGACGTACATGGTCCGTAGGAATCCGCTGGCAAACAAGTTTTTTGGTAATTGTAGCTTAATTTTGTTGTTGGAGATGTCTCTGTAAAGTAAGGAAGTAACAACGAAACATTAAATGTCAAACAATAGCGGAGAACAACGCACACCACAGGTTTACGCACAGGTGTTGGAGCCGATGAAACGCGTCGAAAAACTGGAGTGTGGAAGCTGTGAGGTTGTTGCTCGATAAATTTCTACGTCACACATAGACGCTTTTGTTATGTGCTGAAGGCCCGCTAGTGTTCCACACGAAGCCGACTTACATCTGTTCGAATGCATCATTGCCGGCCAAAGACGACGGGATGTCCCCTGTTAGCTGGTTCTCCGCTAAGCTTAGCATTCTCAGCATCGTCATATCGCCCAGCCAGGCAGGAATCTCTCCGAAAAGCTGGTTTCCCGACAGGTCGCTAGTTCGCCAGCACCACACGAAACACCGCACATCGGTCAGCGTTTATCGACCGCTTCCAAGGCACACACCTTACAGCTGCTCGAGCGACACCATGACGCTCAGATCGATCTTGGCTAGCTCACAATACAATGACTCGTCTGGAAGATAACTACAGCAGCAGCTCTGAGTGCTAGTCTGGAGCATGACCATTGGACAGAGGTTAGAGACGTACATGTGTGTCACCGTGGTCGGATCTGTGAAGGCGTCGCAACGAAGTCCTTCCCATGGCCACAAGAACTCAGCGTCATCGTCTTTGGAGCTCCTGTTCGTATAAAGTATACGGCCAGTGCATGGGTGGGTTGTTACGCCATGCGGACAAAATGCTGTACTCTCGTTCGTCTCACGAAGATACAAGTCGTCATCGTCGCCAGTGCACCACGAGCGCATGGCTGCTGATTCTTTCGTGCGGCAGTCACGATACATCTGCATCAACGCGTCCATTTCCACCGACGCCAGCGGATACGTCTGATCAACTTCTTCAGTGGGAGCTCCGTCGTCCGCCACCTCTTTCGCTGCTTGTTCTGCCAGTTCCTTCAAGTTGATGAATGGAGACAGCATGTCCATGATTTCATCGCCTAGGCACCAACGAACAAGTGCTGACAACATAAACAACAGCGTCAAACTCGCAGTCCTCGTAATCCAAGTCATGACCCTGCTTTCTTGATAATGAACTTTGCTCCAAAGTCCTGGAAACCAAAAAATAAGAAGAAAGGCAGAATGGGGACAAGCCACCATCAGCGTAAGAGGTAAGCGCAAGTAATCTACTACCTTGCGGGTTAGCTGTGATTGTGAGTTGGTCGTCTCAGGGACGATTGAGTCTGTAAAGGTACATGGAGGCGTCTTCGTAACATTGAAGCAGACTAGATCACACTTCGTTCCATCGGCTTGTCTGCTCTCCTGGGTCCATTCGCACAGAGTACAACATTGTCAGGTCTAGGAGTGCTGGAGCGGGCTAATTGGCTCTGTCAGCGGTCTGGTATCGTGCTTCAGCTGGAAAGGTTTGTTCTCTGGAACAGGGCGTGCATGGAAAATCATCTCTTTCTGGCGCAAGCGCTTGATTTCCTCTTCCTCTAGTTGTCGCTCTTGTTGCTCTCGTTGCTGCCGAAAAGCTTCTTCTCGTTCGCGACGCTCTTTCTCTGCTGCTTCGAATGCAGCGCGTTCTGCTGCTCGACTTTTAGTTGCCAGCATGGGGGACTCGGTCTGTGTAAGAGGTCTGGTGCTGGCTACAGTTTGGACACTGTCGGACTCGAACACGGGCATGGGCTTCGCCCGAAACGTTCCTGACGATTTCAAACGCTCTTCTTCCTCTCGCCGCTTTTGTTCCAAGCGCTCACGGGCGTGCTCAAGATACCGCTCTCCTGGCAACTCGAACGGCTTCACTTCAGTGAGTGGTTTGGTGGAGCCCTCAAACTTCGCAGGTGTTGCGGCCACACGCATGGGGTTCGCTCTGAACTGGTGCTGCTTCTCTCTTTCTTTCTTCTCGGCTTCGAGCTTCCGACGGAAGTTCTCCTGATACTCTCGATGGCGCTGGATGCTCTTAAGCGGTGGGGTTTCAGGGATCACAGGACGTCGGATGGGAGGAGGTATAGACTTCTGAGCGGTCTGACCTGTTTGGCGCGCTTTCAGCCGCTGTTCTCGCTCCTTGCGGTGGCGGTCTATCTCAGCAGATACGGACGCAGCACGCTCTGAGGCACTTGGACGGGTTACTGATCGTGCACTCGTCGGCAGCTTGGGCGATGTCGGCTGTGTTAAACGGGCTTTACTGTCCGATTTGGCTGGTGAGTAGCGAGGACGCGATTTCGGCTCGAGGATGCTCCTCTTCAAAGGCCTCGCATGGAACTTCTTCGCCAGCTCCTCCGCGTCGTGGTCGACAATCTCGATCGGGCGATGTGCTGCTGCACGTCGACTCGTTTGTAGTTGTGGAGTCATAGGCTGGTACACGCAACAAGACGCACAACGTTAGCTCACTAGCTGAAGCCTGAAGACAAACTCCATTGAGAAAGAAAGAAAAACTACCTGTGTAAGGCCACCAGATTTTGAGCGCGTATAGCTCGGAACTGCCGGTTTCTCCTGTTCACGGGACACTGGCGCTGGTGGTGGACGCTGTGCTGCTCGGGTGGCTGTTTGGAGCTGCGGAGAATGCGGTGTCTAAGGTAACGAACAGACAAGTGTTAGTTCTAGATATCACATCCAATGTTCACTAAGATCTCACCGTGACCATGTGTCGAGTCTCTCGATGTGGTGGCAACGGGAGCGAAAAATCACGAGTAAGCAGCTTCTCCGCAGCAATGGGTGGACTAGCTTTATCGTGTCCTGAATCGCTCCCTTCGCTTCCACTGTGAGCACGTCGAATCCGATTCTCCACCGCGAAATGCGGAGTCTGCGGGATCGTCAGCTGCTTTGTCGATCGCTGGTGGACGTTGGTCGGCGGTCGCTGCACTTTTGTCTTCTCGTGAAACTCTCGAATCTTGAGTTTCTCTAGCTGCAAATGCAGTCGCTCTTCCTGAATTTTCAGCAGCTCTCGACTCGTGCTGCTCATCCGAGACACATCGTTCGGGTTCGTTGGTCGCGTCTTGGTGTGTAGCTTTGGACTTCTTGGCCGAGTCACACGGTGGGGCTTTTCCTCCACGGGAATGTCCTCCATGTAGCTCTGCTCCCTCATCCTCTGCTCCGCCTGCAGTCGTCTTAGGTACGACTGCGTGGGCTGCATCAGCTTGGACGAGACGACTGGATCCCGGGCCCTGCTCTTCGTATTGTCCTTTAACGCCGCAGATGACGAAGATGTCTGTGAACTGTGAGGAGAAAAGTGACCTCCATGAGTGGAACTGTGTGTAGAAGTGTCCAGCTCATGGAGTAGATACGAGGACGTGGCGGAAGACTGAGATGACGACGCGTAGTGTCTGAAAACTTCCTCGAAGCTCTCCTCCCTGTCGTCCAGCAAGTTGCTCCTGTTCAGCACCGTCTCCACGTCTTCCTCTTCTGGTCCAGCCATGGTTGTGTCCAGCATGGCCTTCTCCTCCATCTCCTCATCATTATCTTCCTCCAGCGCGTTATTATTATTATCTGAATCTTCGTAACTTTTACTTAACGTTCTTGTTACAGGAACTGGCGGCTCTGTTGATACGTCGTTCTTATCGATAGTGGAAGGAGAGCGCTTGAACATAGCGGCTGGTGGCGCGGGCGACGAGAAGTAGCCGTCCGCGTTGTTGACGTAGCGCCGCTCCAGCGCCGGATTCTTCAGGTCGTAGTAGGACGGAGCGTTAAAGTGGAAGTCTTCATCGTCGTCCTCGTCCTCGGGCGCGTCAGTCTCGGGCTCCGCACTCTGCGGTACACGCAGGTTGTTGTCCGCGTGCTCCTCCGGCTCCAGCGCCTCCATCGTCGTGTCTAGCAGCGTCGCCATCAGCGCGGACAGTGCGGAATGGTTTAAAAAAACTTAAAGCTGAACAATAATAAGCTTTATCACATTATAAAGACATTTTTGTATGTTTTATATTAACACGTTTAATTTGCTTGCTTAAGCCAAATTGCGTTAGGTAGGGATTGAAAATGTCAAGCATCAGGTTTCATTGATTCACTAAATGGTATGCTGTTCCACAGGTCAGGGTATAAGTTTTCGTGATTCATTTTAGCAGTTGACGTGCGGTAGCAATGGTCCACGTCCCGATCCGCGCCGTTCGCTTCATCCGCACGGCATCCAGCAAAGCTCTGGTACGCTTCATGACGGCATTTTGATTTCTCACGCTTAAGCTAATTATTTACAATTCTGTATTACCAGCATACCGTGCGTCGCCAAGGAGAGCCGGGCACCCTCGATTGCCGATACTTCTTCTTTGACAAGCTCGGACGCAAGCAGTCGCCTTGGCACCATGTGCCTCTCTACGCGCCCTCATCTCTGGAGCACCCTCAGGAAGTTGATATCCCTGCCATTTTCCATTTCGTGAATGAAATTCCAAAGGGTTCGCGAGAGAAGATGGAGATCGCAGGAGAGGATGAATTTAACCCCATCAAGCAGGACGAACGCAAGGGTGCTCCGCGTTTGTACCACAGCGCATCACTGGTCAACTATGGCTGCCTACCGCAGACCTGGGAAGACCCGAACCACGTGGATCCATCTACTAAACACGGAGGAGACAATGACCCGATCGACGTGTGCGAGATCGGCAGCCGTGTAGCTAGTATCGGAGAGATTTACCCCGTTAAGGTGCTCGGAGTGTTGGGTATGATCGATGGTGGAGAAACGGACTGGAAGGTGATCGCGATCAATGTGAACGACCCTCTGGCCGCTGATATCAACGATCTAAGGGACCTGCGCAACACGCCGCTGCACGATGTGATCTCCCAAGTGCACCGCTGGTTCCGGGACTACAAGATCCCGGACGGCAAACCACCCAGTGACTTCGCCTTTAACGGAGAGGCACAATCAAAGGATTTCGCTGTGGAAGTGATCCAGCAGACCCACGAGAGCTGGAAGCAGTTGGTTGGGGACGAGCTGGCCTTCAACTCGAAGCTCTGGACTCGCACCAACGTTTAACGCACAATTGAGCTAAGAATGTGCATAGACTCGTAGCAGTTCCAGGTTTCCGTTCATTCCCCAAAATGTACGTCACCTCCTTGACTCCCGGCTTGCTTTTCTTCTTATTT